GTTTTACGCAGTGATCATATGCCCAGTCTGCACCTGTTTTTGATTGGGATGAACACCTGACAGCCCAGGACCGCATATGGGGAAACTAGAGTTCTTCGTCTAGTGGTTTCTGTGGAACAGCTAACGTTTTATTTTAGTTTCAAACCACACAATTTGGATAAGTTGAATTGGAGTTTGTTGGACTGCAATATCAAGTACCGTAACAATTCGCAAATGTTCAAAGAAGAGATGAAGAGTTATTCTTCGAGGTCGATTTTTTTCCGAACATTTTTGATATCAGGATAAACCGTAAGAACAGCAGAGATTTGAAACACTTCCGCTTGTGAAAGGGCTATGGAACCTTTTTATAGCGTTATTCGAATGGCGGGGCGACGCCCCATTCTCATATAAGGGTGAGAGTGAATCCACTGAATGTTTCAGATTCATGTTGGTTCCACAACCGGAAGTACAAAATATCGTACAACGCATGCTGACCGAACATCTACCAGGGGCATCGTTTCGATCTGTTGATGGCAGGCCGCGATCTCCGCTTCTGAATGACAGCATGATAAGAGTACTCCTACAAATCAACCGCCTTGTTCGTCCTCCAATCTCTTCGCCAGCTGCCAACGTCACTCAGCGCTATCTGACACCAAGGGCAGAGCTCACCGTTGCCAACTACGAACAGGTGCAGATTATACTGTTACTCTAGCTTCCTGTCATATATACCATTTTCACTTTAAATTCACCCTTTTCAAACCAAATTCACCCTTTTCAAACCAAATTCACCCACCTTCCAAATCGAATTCACCACACTTATTAGGCTGCGCAAGTCATCTACCAAATCACGCCGGACACTACTGCGGGCCCCGCCCCCTCGGCCACGCCCACTTGCTTTTTGCGGAATTTTGATATTTTTCAAAATTTTTGCATTTTTGGACTGCTACGTGAAGCCCCGCCCACTTTGGAGAAGCCCCGCCCACTTTTCAAAAATGGTGCAAATCGGCAGTATAGGGTCTTGGCTTTCATGCTAGGGTCTCGTTCGTCACTCGGAACAAACTTTGCCTATTTTCTTGTTCCTCCAAAAGATGCAAAAATTTTGAAAAATATCGAAATTCCGCAAAAAGCGAGTGGGCGTGGCCGAGGGGCGGGGCCCGCAGTAGTGTCCGGCGTGATTTGGTAGATGACTTGCGCAGCCTAATAAGTGCGGTGAATTCGATTTGGAAGGTGGGTGAATTCGATTTGGAAGGTGGGTGAATTTGGTTTGAAAAGGGGTGAATTTGGTTTGAAAACGGGTGAATTTGGTTTGAAAAAGGGTGAATTTGGTTTGAAAAGGGTGAATTTAAAGTGAAAATGGTATATATGCTCGCTAAGGATGAAGCTTTCTGATAATAGCTTAATCTTGTTCGGCTGGCTTTGCCTTTCTACTTTATCTTCCCTTTTTCAGATTTTGGCGCGCTTCAAGCAAAGTGGCTTCGTGGGGATAACAAGTCAGAATCCCGCTGCTGTGTATCCGCCTAACATGTTTTTGTCATACGACTTCGTCAACTGGCTCACTGGTGAGTTTTTTCTTTGAAATTAGTCCCTGTGACAGGGGGATCACGATAAGGCTTTACAACCGTATTTCGCGATTAACAGAGAAGCGCAGTTTATGGTAAGGTTTGACAATTCGTCGTGATTTGAAAATATGAAAAGAAGCGGACTGCAAACAGAGTACAGCATCGTGATGTGTGAAATGGTAGTGTCAGTGCGACCCCTCCCCCCTCACCTTTCCTTATCTGGTACGACTCCTTTCCCTATCTTACCTGCAATCCTCCCATGTCCTCCCCAGCTTCCGACCATTTTTCCAAGTTTTCCGGGAGATTCTCTGATTCTTCTTCAAAAGCAGTCGAGCTAGTGGTGGTTGGGGGCGGGATGGGTCTGTCGGATGAATTCACCTCAAGAGGAAGTACAAGCCCTCCTTCCCCGGGCAACTAATTCCCTTACGGGATTCTCCTATATGATGTATCTCGACTGCAAACTTATCGTTTACGCCTATAATACTCATGCAGACATGTTGCTGAGGTGTACTTTCTCATCTTTCATGCAATGCTTGCAATACTATTTGGGCTGGTTTTGAGGATTTTTCGGAGTTTCTACAAACCGTTGCTGGTATCAGTGCATGGTTTCCGACAGTGGAAGCAGCGAAAGTACAAGATGCTTCCCAACTCTCCTGTAGTTGACCTGCGCCTATTTTTCTTCTGGTTCTTGATGAATGTTGTGTTGCTTAACAACTCCATATTCGTACATCAACCACTCTACCTGCTCTGTTTATATTGCTATGCCACTCGAGGTTTTTAGGTGGAAATCTTTATTTTACGGCCTAACGTTTCGACTTGGTCGTCTTCTTCAGAGGCCTAAACGCGTTTCGAGGTTAGGAAATGAACACTACCTTACTAAGCGCCCAACCAACCCTAGCAGTTCCGATGGCGTGTTCGGAACTCAACCTGAAAGCCCACACAACACGAAGAGTGCACTCACCAAGCTTCCACCGTATATCCGCATCACATGCGGCTAGTAGTTAGTAGAGAATGAGACTTACTATAGCATCTCCTGTCTCCTACACGTCTAGAAGTGAGGAGACGCACGTAGCGCTGCTACTTAGAGCTCGCAATACGGTATGAATGGCAGAAGGTCATTTGTCACTGACGGACACTCATCTCGGCTGTTCATCCTAGGATTTCTGACTGAAATCCAAAACGCCTTTCTTGCCGAAATTTCCGTCTCCTGCGCCAATATCGTACACTTGATTTCAAAGTTGTTGCCGTCATGCTCCTCAGATTTATGCCTGCCAAGCGCTGTCGTGAGCCTATCACGTCTCATACCAGCTAGGTGCTCGTTTATTCGTATACCTAGCGGCCTTCCAGTCTCTCCGATATGTGCGTCCACACGCCAGACATTCTATTTGGTAGATCACACCCGATTTAGCGCAATCACTCTGCCGTGTGGATAACACAATCTCTAGATATGCACTGTTTATATGTTTACTCTACATACTATTGGTTGACGAAATGTGCCATCAAGAGCCAGCACTGGTCTTTCTCAGCTCTTTCTCATGGCAGCCGCTCGTACTGGAGCTTTTTTTTCTCATGGCAGCCGCTCGTAATTTAGCGGCTTTACGCTCTTGACGAAGTATCCGATCATAAGCGAATACCACGTAAAGCTTCTGAGTCAATTACGGTGGAGGTGTGGCCAGAGAACCAAAAGCTGTTTCTGTTGTGTGAACAATGATTTTTCAAATTCTTCGTTTCTAGCTGGTAACGTGAAAGAACTGGCTACCCGTGACAGTGCAATAAAATTTGCCAATGATTTGGTCGAAATGGATGCTATAGAAATCGTTCGAGCAAGTGAGCAGGTGTTATCCGTAGAATTTTCTTCCAATGTTGTTTCTGACCGTTCTCAACTAATGATTCTTGCTTGTGCTTTGCAGCTGATATCGAATATGATGAAATGGAGTCATGCATCTCATCAGAATCGGAATCAGGACTTTTTTGCTACGGTTTTCAATTATGTGCATTTGTCAGTGACAGTGAACGTGATCATCCGTCATACAGTCGGTTAGTTTTGCTTTAGAGTAAGGTCAGCGAAAACTGTCATCATGTTATACATTGTTCCTGGGTCGACTTCCCCCGTAGGCCAGCCAAGCCTTCTACCCTTGCGCGGACGGTAATTTGGTACCAGATTTGTCTGGGAAGGCTGACCTCGCAAATCATTGTATAGGCCACATCGCATTCAATAAGCCACTACGATTCTGAATGGAAGTAGAATGCGTGCCGCATCCCACAAAGGGATTGATCAACGGCGAAGACTTTATCCTTTTATCCCTTTCGGCAAGTTCGAATTACGTTATCCCTGCTAAAGGCAGTTATTAGATCTTGCCGTGATTGACCTACTTTACCGAATTCTTCCAGCTCTCTGTCAATTTTCCGAAATTTGTTTCCTCCAAAAAAAAACGTGTCGGGAAGGGGAAGGGGGATCCTCTCCAATCAACTGTCAAAAATAGTTATGTAATGGTTTGACGGCGTCGAGAAATAGAAGGGGTAATGCGAGGGTCGGGGAAACAACAACAGCCAGAAAATTACCCATGCGGCTCAGGAAAATTTCTCGCGATTTTTTCCCCACCGATCGACTACGACCATCGACTATTGACAGCTTCTTATACCCTGATCCCTTGCTTTACAGTTTGACTCCCTTTTCATGGGTAATTAACTCCTCCATCGACTCTCAAGCGTTAGTATGGGTGGTATTATTATTGATATTCTTGCTGAAAGACAGCGCCACGGTCAACCAAGGTGCAGAAATCCTGTAGGGTACAAGGTGGTGGAGCTTGCGGTCACAGCGTATATCCCTTTTTCGTGGCTCAGAAGCGCGTGACAAAAGCACGACAGCTCAGCAACGATAAGCTGACTCCGCCTATGAAAGCGGGGTCAACAAGTTCCACATCAGTCATTCTTTTTTTCATTACCAAGGTTCGTTAGCGGTGATGACTGCTAATCGTATCGAGTATGCCTTGGAGAATGAGCCGCAGCAAGTGGCGATTGGATACAGAGCTCGCTCAAAGTTTAATTAACTCGTCCATTTTCAATCAAAATC